GAGATTATAAAGAACATAACCTTCCTTCTTCACAGAAACAAAAGGAAAGAGCCTTTATATCATCATTTATTCTGCCTCTTACTAGAAGGGAAAATGTGCATTACATTGAAAATTTTAAACAGTTCACATTTCTGCCTTTAATATTACGAGGTATGAAAAGATACTATGTTCTTCCTTTTTTGCACACAGACTCAACTTACTTAAAGTAATGCATTAGTGACTGAGAAGTTGTATATTAGTAAAACTGTAGTGAACACTGCCTTGAATCACTGTGTGGTGGAACTGGCTAGGCAAAGGCTTTACACAGTCAGTAGTTTGTGAGTTAAATAACAATGTTTGCATTCAGGGCATTTAGCAGCCTCTGAAGGTAATCTGTTTGGACTTGGATTTCTAAACCCTAAATTGCTTATGTGTAGTTAGGCAGCTCAGTTGATGAGAGCTGAGGTAAGCCTGAAAATGATGGAGAAGGAAATGGCAACCTGCTCCAGTATTCTTGCTGAGATCGTGCCTTGGACAGAGGAGCTTGATGGGCTACAGTCGGTGGGGTCGCAAAGAGTTGGACATGACTGAGCTGCTGAGCAAGCAGCCTGAAAGTGCACGTTTTATGTCTCTGTCGGCTTTCGGGGGACAAGATCTTGGTTTTCGTCAGCTTGAAAAAGGTGAACTCTGACTGAGTGCAGGAAGCCGGGCGGGAGGCCCTGCCGAGGACCCGAGCTCATGGAGCTCCGGCTCCTCCCCTCTGGCTGCGCCCAGGCCGTGGCCCCTTCCGCGGGAGGGGCTGGGCGGTCTGCCTGGGGACGGGCGGTCTGGCTGCTGGACGAGGCCGCGGGCGTCCCACCCAGTTCTCACTCACCCGCATCCATGCGGGTGCCCTTCTGTGGAAGGGGGGTCTTGACAGACGTCCTCACGGTGGGAGGACGGCAGGAGGGGCAGGAGGGAGCACCTCCAGGGGCCTGAGGGCGGCGCGCCTGCACCGCGGCTCTGACCCGGGCCTCCGCCGCTAGCCTGCATCCCCCTCGTTTTCAGCCGCAGCACTTGTCCATTAGCCCCCAAGACAACAGACACACCAGGAAGCTATTGCCCAGAGGCAGGCAGTGCGGACAGGTGCTGTTGCCGCGGCCCTGGGACCGTCGTCCGCGGGCTCGTGAGGGGACCCGCCGGGCTCCTGATGCCTTTCAGGGGCACGCGGGCAGGGGAGGCCCCAGAGGCCCAGAGTCAGCCCCCGGGGCGCCTCCCAGAGGCTCCTGCGGCTTCCCTCCCCGCGCGGGCCACGGCGGTCACAGGACCTCCCGGGCAGGGCGCGTGGCAGCGTCTGGTCAGGGGCTGGTGGGGGGCCACCAGCGCGCCGGCCCGAGACTCCAGAGACTGCGGCCGTGAGGCCGGGGCCGCAGCTGCCGTGCTGTCAGGGGAGGAGAACACCGGAAGGGAGAGGCCTGGAGGAGCGGGGGCCTTCCCACGGAAGCCGATGGACCAGAGGCTTCCGCGCCTGCGGCTCCTCCATGGAGGCCGGTGGACCAGAGGCTTCCGCGCCTGCGGCTCCGCCACGGAGGCCAGTGGGCCAGGGGCTTCCGCGCCTGCGGCTCCTCCACGGAGGCCGGTGGGCCAGAGGCTTCTGCTCCTCCGGCTCTTTACCCGCTGCTGCCCTCTGCTTTCCCGCCAGCATGCCCACCGCACCCTGAAGTCCTGGGGCTTATGGGAGTCTGCCACCAGGCCGGGGCATCCCGAGGGCTCCTTGTCCATGGGGTCTTCGTCCCGCGTGACCAGCAGGACGTGGTGAGACCTCAGCTCTTGAGTGGGAGAGTCGGTCTTCACACTCAGACTCGGATGTGCGAAACTCTTGCTCCGAAGTTCCATTCCCACCAATGGCAGCCCGAGGCCTAACCCTGCAGGTTAAAGGCAGACTTGCTTCCTTACTGGTCACCCGTCTCCTCTGGACTGAGGCCCACAGCTAGTTTCTCCGTCCTGTCTCCTCTCCCCGCCCGGGTGGGTCAGGACTCTGGAGTCTCCCATGTCTCTGTTGTCTGAGGAGGGGCCTCTGAGTGTCCTCTATTCCCTGCTCACCTCTGCAGACGTCTCTGTCCCCGCCAGAGCCTCTGACTGCCCTGTCGGCCTGAAGGCCTTCGGTCCTCAGTGCTTCGGCCATGGGTCCCAGCACATTGAAGGCAAGAACAGGCAGTGTGGCCAAGACTTTTTGCTTCAGATGGTGCTCCCAGCAGACCGTCCAGAAGGCAGCAGGAGGTCACCGTCCCCGGGGCAAGCAGGATGCGCACCGTGCTTGCTCTCCACAGTCACCTCTTTTCCTGGCTCCCAGAGCTAGACGTGGGCTCCACGGGCCTCCCTCTGCTAGTTCCTCAGACATGAGAGCCCTGGGCTTCCTGCCATAGCCCTGGCGCCCCCACACCCACCGGCCGGGCTCCCTCTCAGCCCCAGGAGCTCCCCCTCGGCCCTGGGAGCTCCCCACCACCCCCATCTCCATGGCGGGAGCAGAGCCCTGCGCCCTCGCAGCTCAGCGGCTCACCGGGCCAAACCTCCAACCCTTCCAAAGTGCCCAGGCAGCCCTCCGCCTCCCAGCTCAGCCCTAAAAGCCCAGGCAGAGTCGTCAACACAAAGGCAACCTTTTCAGTCCTCCTAAAGACCTACAGAACTGTCTCATCAATTTTCTGCATTTGGTTGTCGTTAGTGTCTTATTGAGTGGAGTGTGTGTGTGTGTGTGTGTGTGTGTGTGTGTTTTTATTGAGAGAACAAATTGTTACAGGCTTTTAAGGAAACCAAAAACATTCCCTCTCTAATTATATCTATTATCCCATTCCCATTCATCTTGCTTTCTTGTTTTGAAGCGGGCCTTTCTAAAGCCATAAACTCCAATCACATTCTGAATAAATTCAGGCTGCTGTTTTTCTGCTGTTGTCTATAAGAGGACTTGTCAGCATGGTCTGTAGATTTATTCTTGGTGAAGATTCTAGTAAACTGTCAGGCTGGACTTATGTTGATGGGACTTAGTCTTTGCCTTGTCCCTTGCTGGAAATACTTTTTGGCAGAAAAGCTATAAAAAACCTAGATCACACATTAAAAAGTAGAGACGTTACTTTGTCAACAAAGGTCCATCTGGTCAAAGCTATGGGTTTTCAAGTAGTCAAGTATGGATGTGAGAGTTGGACTATAAAGAAAGCTGAGCGCTGAAGAATTGATGCTTTTGAGCTGTGGTGTTGGAGAAGACTCTTGAGAATCCATTGGACTGCAAGGAGGTTCAACCAGTCCATCCTAAAGGAGATCAGTTCTGAGTGTTCATTGGAAGGACTGATGTTGAAGCTGAAACTTTAGTACTTTGGCCACCTGATGCAAAGAGCTGACTCATTGGAAAAGACCCTGATGCTGGGAAAGATTGAAGGCAGGAGGAGAAGGGGACGACAGAGGATGAGATGGTTGGATGGCATCACCGACTCCATGGACATGAATCTGAGTAAACTCTGGGAGTTGGTGCTGGACAGGGAGGCCTGGCGTGCTGCGGTTCATGGGGTCGCAAAGAGTCAGACGCTACTTAGCAACTGAACAGCAACAACAAGGACCTCAGTATTTCGAAATGCAGGTTCCAAGGGTGTTTTTCCATGTTTGTTCAGTCACTCACTCAGTCACTACTCCCTGTGCCCCTGAAGTGTGCCAACTGTCCTGCTGAGTGCTGGATGGAGCCCTGAGCCAGACCCCGCTGGGGGTGACGGCCGCCCGAGGAGCCGGCAGAAGCCTGTGCTAGCAGCACGTGTGACGGCGCTTCCGTCAGCGCCGTGGGAGGGCTGGCGGCAGGGGCCCCGAGGGTGGCCTGGGCGCGCGGTCTGGGCGGGCAGGAAGGCTGCTCCCAGGAGGAGGCAGGAGCGCCGAGGACGCCGCGCCCAGGCCCAAGCAGGCTGAGTGCTGCCCCCGCCCTCCTCCCGCGGGCAGCGAGCGCGCCGGGGGCGGTCTGGGCACCAGAGGCCGTGGGGCCAGGCCCGGAGCGGCGCCTCGGACGGCGTGACCCAGTGCAGGGCCGCGAGCTGGGCTCCTGGTGCGGCCCAGGAGGGGACGAAGCAGCTTTAGGGGAGGGTGAGCCCCTTCCTGCACGGGTGCTTGGTTCTCTGACCGTGCCTTTGTAAAACCGTGTTTTAATTGCTGCCCCCCAACCAAGAGTCTCCAGACGATCCCTGCGGGGTGGGGCACTTTCACTCAACACACACCCCTCTTTAAGAACCACCCCCCCCTCAGGAGCACAGGTCTGGCAGCACCAGGGGCTCAGGCATGCCATGAGGACGGCCACGGCCCTCGCTTGCTGAAGCTCTCGGTGAGCAGCTCAGCATGACGCCAGTGGTCAGAGCTTGCTCAGCAGGTCTTCAGGTCAAGTCTGCATGAAGGCCAGGCCTCCTGCAGACACAGAGAGACAGCTCCTCTGAAGACCCTGGGTTGAGTCTCGCTGACTCCACAGGCATCGCTATCAGGCGACAACCACAGTGCCATGAGTTTGTCCTTTTATTTTTACCATTATGTTGAATTGACAACGTCCTTTACCATTTATATTTTTTGAAGTTTTTAAAGTAGTTGTCAAAATAAAACCTGCCACTGTTTCCACTGTTTTTAGATAGTTTCTTTCATTTCTGTCCCCAGGAGGACCTGGTCTTTAGCCAGAGGGGGTGAATTAACAGCATTGAATTCTGCTAGGAAGCCTAGCAGAAACGTTAGATGGAATGCTCCATGCTGTTCATCCTGTCTTAGGTCAGCAAGGGTTGCTCTGGGCCCTCTGCAGAAGTAAGACACTTCTGTCACTGTGAGAACACGTTCATGGCATGTTGGTGGGAGGCTGTGTGTCCCAGGCTCTGTGCCCCATCTCCTGTACTCACCCCCTGCCCCGTCTCTGGTTGGGCAGAGCATCCTTGGTAGAAAGACTTGCTGTGAAATGTGGTCAGAAGTGATGGTGTAGCAGCAGATAAATTATACTCAGGGCATTAGTTATAAAATGTCATTCTTTTATTTTTCAGTAAATATTCAAGATGTGATATTACAAGAAAATTTGGAGAAAGAGGATCAGATTCTGGTTTCCCTGGCCGGACTGAAGCAGGTATGTCCGTTCGCCTAACCCGGGGGCAGCCAGGCCAGCCTGTTAGTGCCTGTCGTGGGGGTGGGGGGCGCCCGGGGCACCGACGTCCCCCCGCATTTCCTTCTACACGGACCCCTCCTGAGTGGCCCCGGCTCCTCCCAGCGGTCAAGTCGAGCAGCCGGGCGGGTCCTCGTTTCCCCCACCCCCGACCTCTCGCCCCTTCCTCTCCGCATCCTGCTGTCTGCTCTTCTCTGATGCTGCTACGGGGGGTTTGCCCTGCTCAAGTCCAGTCATGCCCCTGTAGACACGTGGACATCCTGGGAGCACGAGGCACAAATGATCTCCCCTCTAAGCAGCCGGGGCCCCTCGAGGGACGCACTTGGCGGACAAACGGGGCAGGAAGTTCCCTGAAGGTGTGCAGGGCCCTCACCGTCAGCCTGCCTGAGGCCCGCAGCCAGGGCCCCAGAGCCGGGGCGCTCCCTGGGCCGGGGTCGACGGGGTGTCTCCGCTCCAGGAGGATGCGGAGACTGACCCACGCCTGTCCCGCGAGGGCCTGGCCATGCAGGCAGGGACCGCTCAGTGTCACCCCTAAGGCAGAGCTGGGGTTTTTTCTTTCTGTTCTTTCTTTCTTACAGTCATGTACTTACCCCCACACCAGAGAAGAAAGGTCAGGGGACTTCCCCGGCGGCCCGGCGGTTTGGACTCCTTGCCTCCACTGCAGGGCCGCAGGTTCAGTCCCTGGTTGGGGAACTGAGACCCCACGAGCCTCAAGGCACAGCAAAAAAAACAAGAGTGGTCAGTGCCGAGTCGGGGTCAGAGGTACCCAAGGTTTAGGTGACGTTTAGAGGCAGACCCGTTCGTCTTTCTCATGGATCGTCTTCTTTGAAATCAGATCAAAGACATCCTGAAGGGCTCCCTGCGTTTCAACCAGAGCCAGCTGGAGGCCGAGGACAACGAGCAGATCAGCATCGCAGACGACCACTACTGCTCCAGCGGCGCCGCCCAGCAGGTACGACCGGCTCCCTGAGGGCGCACTCAGCCTGCGAGGGCCGAGAGCACCCCCCCCCCCCCCCCCCCGGGGGGGGGGGAGCACCCCCCCCCCACCTCAGTGAGGGCTGTGACCTCCTCGGGGTGGCTGAACCGCGGTGCTGCGCACGCCTGTGCGGGGCGTGGGCTCCGGGCCGAGCCCTCCGCGGTGGACTGGTGGCTCCCAGAGGTGGGCAGCGTACCGCCTGCACCCCTGCACGCAGCAGCTTCCGCCTGGACTTGCTGCCGGTCGTTAGGAAGCCCCAGAAAGCCGGCTCTCTGCCCTCGCCCCCCTTCCCCTTTAGCAGGGGGAGTGCCGACCCTGCTTCCCCGATGCCGTCTCGAGTGGACTTCACTTGGCCGGAACCTTTTTGGGCTTCAGGGGGTAGGACTTCTCAGTGTCCATCCTATAAGCCACCTGGGTCAGGGAATGTTTCCTGTGAAGGCCCAGAGAGTAAATATTTTAGCAAAATCTCATCTAAGTTACCTTCTCAAAAAGCAGCATCCAGATGCTTACAAATGTATATTTTTTATGCTTTTAAGGAAGCAAAACGGCATTTTCAAATCGGGCTCTTTCAGCTTTGCGAGTGCTCTTGCAGCAGGGAGCCCTGTGACTTCCCTTCTGGCAGCTCCGCGCTCTTTTGCAGAGGCCCTTCCCGGTGGTCCATGTGTCTGTAGACCCTCCCAGTCCCCCCACTGCCCTGGGAGACCCCGGTGCTCCGCTGGGATGAGCAGGCGGCAGTGACGGGACTCCAGGCGGGTCAGCCTGGCCCGGACGTCTGCCCGACGGGCGCACAGGAGTGGTGTCGGGGGGGAGGCCGGCCAGGGTGGGGGGCGGGCTGGCTAGACCCAGACCCCTCGTAGCAACCCCAGCTCCAGCCCCGACGACGACAGCAGCGGCCACAGCAAGGACTCGGGCTTCACCATCGTGAGCCCCTTGGACCTCTGACGGCAGCCCGCCGCCCCGGGACACGCCCCCGGGAGACGCCCCTCCCCGCGCCCGCCGGTGCAGCCCTCCGGGCCTGCGAGGAGAGGCGGGGCCGCGGGCAGGAGGGGGCCTGATGGCTCCTCCGAGGTGCAGCCGCTTCCCCGCAGCCCCCACCCCGTGTGGCCCTCAGCATCCCTCAGCTTCGCAAGCCCGCCGGAAGCTCCCACCTCCCCTCCGCACTCACGGGCCGTCTGGGGGAGGGGGAGCAGGCCTCCAGCCTCCCCTCGGGGCGCCGGCCGGGAGAACTGGGGAGAACTGGGCCTCCAGAAGTCTGCGTCTCAGGCCCGCTCCTCCCCTGGGGAGCCACCCGCCAGCCGGGCGCAGCGGACCAACCAGAACCAGCGGCCCGGGCTGGGAGGATCAAGGCTGCAGCTCAGAAGGCAGGCGCAGGGGCAGCAGGGCTCCCAGAGCACACGGACCTCGGCTGTCAGCGCCCCTCCTCAATGTCTTCACCGTCAGAATCTGAGGGTCCGAAAAGAAGGCCCCGAGCTCCGAGCCAGCCTTGCTGTGCGGCCCGCTGGCGCTCCGGCGGGGCCTCAAGGAGCAGGAGCAGCTCCCCGAAGCCCCTGCTTTCTCCTGTTGCTTGGCTCATCCCTTCGAAGAGAAGGTCAAAAGAGGGTTGACTTTTCCAGTGCGGCTGGGTCACTCCCCCGACAGACTGTGAGCTCAGGCAGCACAGTCACTGCTCTTGTCCGCAGCCGCTGCATCCGAGAAAGGACGCGTCAGATGGAATGATCCCGGAGACCTGTTGGGCTCTCAAGTCTGCTGATGCTAAAAGCTTGTGTGAACCACAGAAATGACACGTGCCTTGCTCTCAGTTACCTAAGCCACATACTAGCTAATAGCGTCTGTTACTATAAATGTAGCCGTTTCTTAATATTTTGTCTTTTTTTTATGATTTCTGGATTTTCCCTGAATATTGCTATTTACTGGCCAGGTAAGTTCAAGGATTGCTAACAGTAATCTAAGTTACACATTATTTTATTTCTCAGTCTACAACTCTTTTAATTTTTTACTATTTTCTATTTGTTTTGTTTTGGTTTTTTTCCATGTAGAGTTCATTTCAGAACTAAGAACCTCAGCTACTGGCTGACTGCTCCCCAGTGTGAGCAGGAAACTGCACTATTATTATTCAAGTAACAGGTTTAATTTTCTAACTGGAATGACAGTGAAGACCAGTGGAGATGCACACCTTAATTTGAGCACAGTATCAACAGAAAAATGATAAGAACAGGGCCAAGGACTTACTCTGTCAAAGGCCATTTCAGGGTCTGGGCAGAAATAAATTCAGTGTATCAGCCTGAGCAGATGCCGTGAGGAAACAGTGAGGCACCACAGTGCAAATTCCACATATAGTTATCCAGCTTACTTACCCGAGTGGCTGAAAAGAAAACGGACAAATCAAAAAGCAGCTATTGAGGATTTAGAAACCTTTTACCCTTCCAAACTTTGCGAGCAGTCATTAGTCTGCAGTGTCCAGTCGCTTTTCCAAAATAGTGTGGCGTCTCACTGATTTGGAAAATAAAGTCTGGTGTTAACGACTCAGCTGGCCGGAGGGACGCGGCACCTGCTCCAGCCGCTCCACGTGCCCCTGGCTCGCAGTCTGCACAGGGTCCAGGCTCAGCCCGCAGCGGAACTGAGAGGCTGAGAAGGGGGTGAGGTGTTGGCTTTGCAGATAGTGGCCGCCGTGTAAAGTCGGGGCCACTGGTGTACCGAAAGCAAGTGTCAAACCAGACACGCTTCTGACAAAGCTGTTTACCAAGTCGATGGCCACTCTTAGTAGAACACTTTGAACTGGAAATTTTAAAAGTGAAACTTTCATTAAATGCACATACTGCTGTTGGAGAAATAGCATAAAACATCTTTTTAATGTGACTACTACTTCATACAGAGAAAAGCTATGTGCAGTGTGTTGCTTCCGCGTCGGTGGCCTTCACGTTGCCTGCGTACCCAGCAGGGGTCTCCAGCCAGAAGCGGCCGTCCCAACACAGCGCCCTTGAACACAGTGGCTCTGCACGTTTGGGGGTCGGGCTACTTACATTATCCTCAGTAAGCGCGGCTCTCAGCAGGCGTGCTGCCAGAATCATCCAGAACCCAGAGGCCCCAGCAATCATACCTAAGTAAAACTTGTTTTAGGACTCGTTTGTTTTTTTTTTCCCCCCAATAAATACTGATTAGACCATACAGGCCTTCTGCATCTTAAGACATTGTTTTCTGTTAGGATAATGTCTGCTTCTCAATGGGACTAGAGTGGCTAGTCCGTTGTTCACACTGGAACTGAATTATGACATCTTTGTATACAAATACAGCATATTTGGGCCAGGAAGAGAATTTCTTGTTAAAGAGTTTATTTGCCTCCATAAGCAGGGTTGCTACATACATTCACAGTTTTAAGACTGCAATTAGCTATTCCAGTTGTGCTTTAAAATCCCCAATATTATTTTCATTAGTGAGTGCAAAGCAAATGTCCCATCAGGCTGACAGTTGGTCCTCGAGTTGCAGACTCTGTGCTCCTCTCCAGAAAGTCCCCTCATTCCCCAGTCTCATCGTTTGCCTTCTCGGGTATGACCTCGAGGCTCCGCCGCGGCTTCTGGACGTCGGCGTTTTCTGTGCCCGGTTTGTTGAGTCCACAGGAGACGGCCGCATAGTGGATCTGTTTCAGGTTCTCCACGGTCTCGTTCTTGGCGTATTTCAAGAGGTCGGCTTGTCCCTGCAATGAAACACGCAGAGAGACAGTGTGAGCTGAGACGTGACTCGCAGCTACATTCTGACAGCACAGGGCTTCCACGGAGGCAGAAGCACTGTGATGCCTCAAGAGGGCATATTTATTTCTGATAGCAGTGAATCCAAATAGGTCAGTTTTAACAACAACAACAACAAAGTTTGTTTCCCCAGTTCTCGACACCAGACTCCGGAGAGTGTGCTGCCTTTCCAGTCCTTTCCATCTTCTGGGGTATTTCATTTTCACACACATGGAACCGACCAGGTTATATTTTCCTGCAGTTTCCTTTTTGTTTTGTTTTTCAACCAAAAGTCATGTCTTGGCGATCTTTCCACGTCAGTGTATATAGATCTACCATAGGATGACAGAATGTTTAAAAACAAAATTCTCCAGATTCTAGGGTAATTAAGGCGGTAATAACAAGAGTTCTTTATCTGGTTGAATCTTACGTGTCTCATGTTCAGACAAGTCGTCACAACGCTGTCAACAGAGCAGACCATCGTCCAGAGGCGACACCAAGGCCGCTGACGTGTGACAATCCCGGGCCTGGGGGCCGCCGAGCCCCACCCCTCACTTCTGCTTGGCTCTGCGCACCCGTGGCTCCCGGCCCCCCGGACCTGGCGCCAGGATGTGGCTGAGCAGCGAAGGGCCGAGGCTGGGCGGCTGCTCACTGCGGCAGCGTTCACCCCTGTCGCCGCAGAGCAACGGCCACTGGAAATGCCGTCGCCCCCGCCCGGGGGTCTGGATTTGGAAGCACCGCCCACACTGGCTTGGCAGGGTTTTCCTTTGAGAAACTCAAACGCTATCTGGTTTCACACATTCTGCTTCCAGTTTTATAACTAATTCCATTTTCTCTGTACCTTGAAAGACTTAAAACAACCTTACAGGTTAAATATTTAAGGTTCTCACTTAGAAAATCTTTAAAAGATGCAGCTGAAGGCAGGGCTCTTGCTGACCGCTGCTCACCCAGGACTGGGGCAGAGGCTGGAGCAACTGGGACAGGAATGACCCTCAGCAGATGCAAAGCATCAGAGCCAGCAACTGCCCATCAACAGTTGGCCCGTCAACAGACTTACTGTGTGACCACAAAAGATGTCCTCGTTATTAATAAAAACATTTCAAAGCGTACCAGTGTTCTGCAGTTTTTTAATCACAATGCATTGCTCTTACTGAGCTGAAACACCAGGGATGCTGGTAATTTTGTCAGAGCTTTCTTGTCAAACTGTCAGGAAAATGGAGGTGCCCTCCTTCTGAGGCGAGTGACCGTGTGGCCACAAAGGCTGTCCCGCCCTCAGCCACCACCGTGCAGTGACCACGTGGCTGAGGGTGGAGGGCAGAGACGGCCGCCTGCTGTCCCCGGGGCCGGCCGGCACCTTCCTTCAAGTTACACCCAGCGAGGGGATGAGAAGGAGGACATTCAGGCCCCTCTGGGAGTCTGAAGGAGGCCCCAAGTTACGAGTGCCTGGGGCCCACACGGCCTTCAAGGCTGCTCTGGAGCCAGGCCCCCAGCTGAAGGCGTACCTGGTGGTGGGCTCGGGGCGGCCCCTTCCCGCTCAGCCTCCTGTCCAGCAGGGGCAGCAGATTCCAGGTGCCTTCAGCACTGTAACAAGCAGGGGCCTATGGGGCCTTCCCCAGACAGGACTCCCTCCCGCCCCCATCCGCTGGTTTAGCTCCTCTCTGAGGCTCTCTGATGCGCCCTTCCTAAATTATTTCACAGACGTGAGAACCCCCACCAAATGGAAGACGGTAACTACTTGATGACCTTGAGCACACAGTCCCCAGGCCTCCTGGAGCCTCAGGACTGATAACGTCAACCCCTGTGACACTGCCCCGTTACCTAACACCATCAGGCAATCAAGAGAATTGTGTACGAGCCGTCACATACCCTGGGACCCCACTCCCTCCCTGGGCCTTTAAAAATGCTTTGCTGAAACCCTTTGGAGGGTTTGGGGACACAACGACCCTTCTTGCATGACCCTACAGTAAACTTTTCTCTGCTCCAAACTCCAGCCCTTGGTATTGTTTGGCTTCACTGTGTGTTGGGCACACAAACACGTTTGCTAGCAATTTTGGCAAGCCAGCCAGGAGTCCGTGCCTGTGACAGGCTGACCCCAGCCAGAGGCAGCCCCTTCCCTGAGTCCCGGCAGCTGCCAGGGCACATTCCACCCCAGGGCTCTCAGAGGCAGTGCCTCTGACAGGCGCAAACCACCCCCGGGCAGGAGGCTGTTTGGGACCTGAGAGACAGGCAGAGCTGTGGTCCACGTTCAGTGTCCCCTGGGGCGAGTGGCTCCAGCGTGTGCAAGCTAGGCTTGTGTGTGATGTCCCCAGGGTATCCTTCCCCGTTGTGTGGGTTTTGCTTGTGGCAGAGCATTGGTTGGAATTTTCCTTTTTGGACAAGGTCATTCAGCTTCATTTCTGATGGGACATCGGTTGGGGTTCTCCCTTTTTGTGGCTAGGGAACTGACCCTGAGATACTGGTTTGAACTGTTTTTGCTTGATATTTGATAACATCAATCATGAATAATTAGGTATGGATGATCAGAGCTCTGCTCCATCCTACAGTCCCCTGGCATATTCTTGCAAAACTGAGAAATCTTTAGCTATCCTCCCATAAGTGAAAGAAAATGATGTTTTTATTGAAACATTGTGTGGCCTCAATACTCCCTGAGATCTGGAGAACAGTGGCCTCTAACAGCTCTACGATTATATAAAAATAGGTCTTTTCAAACAAGAAAAATACTGAATGGACAATGTAACTTTACACCTAAAACAACTGGAAAAAGACCAAAAAGCTCCCAGAGTTAGTACAAGGAGAAATCATAAAGATCAGAGCAGAAATAAAGGAAAAAGAAATGAAGGAAACAATGATTAATAAAACTAAAAGCCGGTTCTTTGAGAAAATAAACAAAATTGACAGATTATTAGCCAGACTCAACAAGAAAAAAAGAATCAAATCAACAAAACTAGAAGTGAAAAAGGAGAGGTTACAACAGACAATGCAGAAATTCAAAGAACCATAAGAGACTATTATGAACAACTATATGCAAACAAAATGGACAACCTGGAAGAAATGGACAGATTCTTAGAAAAGTTCAATCTTCCAAGACTGAACCAGGAAGAAATAGAAATTATAAATACTCCAGTTACTAGCACTGAAGTCAAAACTGTGATCAACAATCCCCCAAAAGACAAAAGCCCAGGGCAAGATGACATCACAGGTGAATTCTATCAAACATTTAGAGAAGAACTAATCTCTATCCTTCTAAAACCCTTCCAAAGAATTGCAGAGGAAGGAACACTTCCAAACTCATTCTTTGAGGCCACCATCACCCAGATACCAAAACCAAAGACAACGCAAAAAAAGAAAACTACAGACCAATCACTGATGAACATAGATGCAAAAATCATCAATAAAATTCTAGCAAACAATTCAACAACACATTAAAAAGATCATACACCATATCAAGTCAGGTTTGTCTCAGCGATGCAAGGATTCATCAATGTACACAAGTCAATCAATTTGAAACACCATATTAACAAATTGAAAGATAAAAACCATATGATAATCTCAATAGATACAGAAAAGGCTTTTGACAAAATTCAACACCCATTTATGATTAAAAAAAAAAAAAACTTCAAAAATGGGCATAGAAGGAACCTACCTCAAAATAATAAAGGCCATATATGATAAACCCACTGCAAACATTCTCAGTGGTGAAAAACTGAAAGCATTCCCTCTAATATCAGGAACAAAACAAAGGTGCCCATTCTTACCACTGTTATTCAACATAATTTTAGAAGTGCTAGCTATGGCAATCAGAGAAAAGAAAGAAAAGGAATCCAGATTGGAAAAGAAGAAATAAAACTCTCACTGCAGACTACATGATAGTATACATAGAAAATCCTAAAGATACTATCAGAAAATTACTAAAGCTAATCAGTGAATTTAGCAAAGTGGCAGGATACAAAATTAACACACAGAAATCATTTGCATTCCTATACACTAACAATGAAATATCGGAAGAAGAAATTAAGGAATCAATCCCATTTACCATTGCAACAAAAATAATAAAATAGCTAGGCACAAACCGACCTACGGAGACAAAAGAGCTGTATTCAGAAAACTATAAGACACTGATGAAATCAAAGACAACATGGAGAGATTCCATTTCCTGGGTTGGAAGAATCACGTTGTGAAAATGACTATACTACCAAATGTAATTACAGAGTCAGTGCAATCCCTATCAAACTACCAATGGCATTTTTCAAAGAACTAGAACAAAAAAAATCTTGCAGTTCATATGGAAACACAAAAGACCCCAAATAGCCAAAGCAGTCCTGAGAAAGAAGACTGGAACTGGAGGAATCCACCTTCCTGACTTCAGAGGACACTGCAAAGCTACGGTCAAGACAGTATGGTGCTGGCACTAAAACAAATATAGACCAATGGAATAAGACAGAAAGCCCAGAGATAAACCCATGCACCCATGAGTACCTTATTTTTGACAAAGGAGGAAAGAATATGCAATGGGTGGTGCTGGGAAAACTGGACAGCTACGTGTAAAAGAATGAAATTAGAACACTTCCTAACAACATAGACAAAAGTAAACTCAAAATGCATTAAAGCCCTAAATATAAGACTGGAAACTATAAAACTCCTAGAGGAAAACAGACAGAACACTCTATGACATAAAATCACAACAGGATCCTCTATGACCTGCCTCCTAGAGTAATGGAAATAAAAACAAACAAATAAAAGGGACCTAATTAAACTTAAAAGCTTTTGCACAGCAAAGGAAACTATAAACAAAGTGAAAAGACAACCCTCAGAATGGGAAAAAATAATAGCCAATGAAACAACAGACAAAGGATTAATTTCAAAAATACACAAGCAGCTCATACAAGTCAATACCAGGAAAACAAACAACCCATCAAAAAATGGGCAAAAGACCTAAACAGACATTTCTCCAAAGAAGACACACAGATGG